ACTACTTTCTTGAACTTCCAGAGGGCAGACTTTGATCTGTTCAGGGCGCTTGTAGCACGGGTCCCTTGGGACTCGCTTCTTAAGGGTAAAGGGGTTCAGGAAGCCTGGATGCTCCTCAAGACGGAAATCTTAAAGGCGCAAGAACAGGCTGTCCCTGAGTGCCGTAAGGCGAGCCGCAGGGATAGAGGACCGGTGTGGATGAGCCAAGAACTACTGTTGAGACTCAGGGAGAAAAAGAGAGTCTACATCCTGTGGAAGAAGGGACAGGCTAGTTGGGGAGATTACAAGGAAGTAGCCAAGGTATGCAGGGAGGAAGTTAGGAAGGCAAAAGCCCAACTTGAACTCAGATTGGCCACTGCAGTAAAAGACAATTAAAAAATCCTTTTATAAATATATCAATAGCAAAAGAAGAACCAAGGATAATTCTCATCCTTTACTTGATGCAGCAGGGAATGTGGCCACTGAGGACAAGGAGAAGGCTGAGGTCCTCAATGCCTTCTTTACATCTGCCTTTAATAGCCAGACCAGTTATCGTTTGGGCATTTTATGCCCTGATCTGGAAGTCTGGGATGTTACTCAGAAAACACCCCCAGCGATTCAGGTGGAGACAGTCAGGGAGCTCCTCCTCCATCTGCACTGTCACAAATCCATGGGACCAGATGGCTTACACCCTCGGCTGCTGAGGGAGCTGGGGGGGGTGATTACCGAGCCGCTCTCAGCCATCTATCAGCGCTCCTGGTTAACTGGAGAGGTCCCAGAGGATTGGAGGCTTGCTGATGTGACTCCTATCTTCAAGAAGAGCCGTAAGGAGGACCCGGGGAACTATAGGGCTGTCAGCCTGACCTCGGTACCGGGGAAAGTAATGGAGCAAATCATCTGCATTAGAGATAGTGTGGCCAGCAGGAGCAGGGAGGAAATCATCCCCCTATACTCAGCACTGGTGAGGCTGCACCTCGAATACTGTGTTCAGTTTTGGGCCCCTCACTACAGGAAAGACATTGAGGCCCTGGAGCATGTCCACAGAAAGGCAACAAAACTGGTGAGGGGTCTGGAGTATAAGTCTTATGAAGAGCGGCTGAGGGAGCTGGGATTGTTTAGTTTGGAGAAGAGGATGCTCAGAGGAGACCTCATTGCACTCTACAACTTCCTGAAGGGAGGTTGTGGTGAAGAAGGGTTTGGCCTCTTCTCCCAGGCAACGAACAGGACCCGGGGAAATGGCTGCAAGTTGTACCAGAGGAGGTTTAGGTTAGATTTAAGGAAGACCTTTTTCTCTCAGAGAGTAGTCAGGCACTGGAATGGCCTGCCAAGGGAGGTGGTGGAGTTGCCATCCCTGGCAGTGTTCAAGAGGCGTCTGGATGAGGAGCTGCGAGATATTTAGACAAGTTTAGTAGCTTGTGATAGCAGTGGTAGCGTGAAGACAGTTGGACTAGATGATCTTATAGGTTGTTTCCAACCTTGTGATTCTATGATTCAATGATCTCTTGTTCCTCCCAAGACACCTCCTGCAGCAAAATCCACCCCACCAGGGTACTCATGAATTCTACACTCATATCTTACAGTAGTAGCTGAAAATACAGTTGCAGATCAATCAGAACACAAAATTCCCTTTGTCAGTATCTTATTCTTCATGAACACGTTGGACTTGGTTGCTAAAGAGGCTTCACAAACTAAATACTTAAAAAAGAACTTTCACTAAGCAAGTTAAACCTGTATATGCTGTTCCATACCTAGACAACAGACTAGGTATCACTAGCAGGCAATTTCAAAACTTTTCCTAAAATTATTCTACTGAGTATCTTTAACAAACATTGCAAAATAACTTGCCAAAACACGTACAGGATAAAAAAAAAAAATCACTGTCTAAAAGGCATATTAAGCAACAGCAGCTTCTATATAGTTGGTTGTATATACACATATGATTTTTAGATTTAAGAGCTTATAGAAAAATAAGTAGAAACAGAAATTTCATCTTAAAATCCCAAAGTTTCTAACTTTTAAATACACAATACTATCAAGATGACAAAGGTGCCCTGATTTGTGAAACAATCTCTTTGCATAAGACGTATTTCAGTCTCCAGAACCAGTTTAATCATTACCCTCTTTGCAGGGACAAATAGCAATCAGCATACCACAAACAGACATGAAACATTTTCTGGTCTGTATCACTAGTTACCAGAGCAGATGAGGTAGATTTTAACTGTGTCCATTTAATAACTGTTTCATTGCAATTACTGCATTCTCTCCACAAAGTCTTCCATCTCCTCAAACAACTAAGGATGTGAAAAAAGACCAGAAAGACCAAAATCCTGGCTAAGGATTTAGCATGCAGGAATTCAGAATAAAGATCACAAGAGTTCTCTCTGTTGATGTACAGAGCACCCTGCATTTCAGCAGCAACCTAAATTCTGAGGAAATAATGAACAATGTATTGTTTAGAATAAAAAGTTGTTATTTGAACATGGGTTGCCAAACTATGCTCTATGTGAGTTTTGAAACAGGTGGTCAATCCATGGGAACAGCATGGCAGAGAGCAGACACATGCTCCAGAAAGGACAGATGCTATCATTCTAAGTTCAATTCAAAACTGGCGTTAGACACTTAAATCCCAACACCATATACGTACCTTTCAAAGGTTTCATAATATCTTCACTTTTTCTTTCTAAACATTAATGCTGGTAAATCAGCATTTTTCTCCCATGGTTACTTTGTGGTTTTGTTTCTTTTTTGCTATACATATTTTTTCTAGTATAAAATGTCTCTATGCCAAACCGTCTGGTTATAAAACTGATTTACATGTGCATTATGTTAATGAAAATGATTTCTTCAAGTCACGTAAGACTCTTCTTCAATGTTTTTTGGTGTAATTATTTGAATTTGCTTTATAGTCTATTAGAATCAAACTTATTGTTAATGTATTTATTTCCTAAAACTCCCATGAAGTCAAGATAACATTAACTCAAAATAAAAGAAAAAGAATCCAGAAAACACGGCATCATAAGTTTGGAAGTGATAACATCTAATTCAGCCTTAGATCAACTTGCATGTGACTGTGCCCAGTTGGTGAAATGTTTTTAAACTAAAGACTACAGAACTGTATTTTTCTCAATGTCCATTAAAAAAAAAAAAGAGAGAGAGAAAAAAAGAGAAAGACTTCAAAAAACAACAAACAAAAAGAGACACAGAGAAAGAAAGTGTGATTCATCAAGATGTATTCATTCAGTGTAGAAAATGAAATACAAAAAAAAAAGCATTAAAAATGAAAAGTGTCTCTGCTTCCATCTAAACATTTAAAGAGCATATATATCTTCTGTGGAAAACTGTGGAATACCTAAAAATGTGAATAATTATAAATTAAGAAAGAAAACAGAACAGATAAGAGAAGGATGAAAACAGCCAAATTGGGAAACATTTTTCTGAAATTAGCAAGTCAGGTCCTGTTGTTGGGTTGGCTTTTGTTGTTGTTGTTTTTAAGTTTGCAAATAGAAAGGTCTTTTAATAATACAAAGTTTTACCACTGAACACTGAGTTGTTCCATATAAACTCTTTAGAATATACAATAAACAATTCAGTGAAAATGTAAAACAACGGATGAATAACTCAGAATAACTAAGGAACAAACTTATTTATAATTTGATAAATCAATAATACAATTAAAGTATTAAGGGATAGGAATTTATCTAGAGATATGTAAGGCACTGCCTCGCATAATCTCAAGAACCCACCAGAGTTATATCCTCCTGAGAATGCAGGACCATTCCATCCAGCTAGGTGTGCTATCATTGTGGATAAACAGCATGACTTCATAAATTTAAGGTGCAGTGTCACAAAGAAGTATTTCTTTGGTATATGTAATGCTTTAATGTGATGGAAAGTATAGCAATAATAGTGGAATGGCAAATGAGGGGAAGCCCAAAGGCAGCAGCCATAGATGTAGAAATGAAGGAAGAAAATATGTTTACCTTTGGAAGGCCTCAGGTAGGCAGGGATCTCCAGAGAGATACCCTCACCTCCACTGTCAACCCTTAAATGAGAGCTGGGAAGGGGTGCATCCTGGCTTCACCCCTTCTGGTCACTCAGGTGCACTTCATGCACTGAGCTCCCCTGGGTTAGCCCTGCCTTCCCACCAGGAGCTCAGTCACTGCTTCAAGCTGTGATTCAGCATTTCTGCTACAGTTTAAGAAAAACTGTTCCAGAAACAGATTTCAAGAGAATAAGTAATTGTTTGAAGACTACGAACTGCTTAATAATTTTAAAAAATAGAATAAATAAGATACCTTGGCAGCCTTTAGCAAGATTTCCCTCTCTTGTTCATCTTTCCTTTGCTTTTCTAAACGTTCCAACTGTTCAAAAAACTTTAATTGTGATCGGACATCTGTAGCTTGTTCATACCACTCATCATCCTGTGAAGAACAGTATTTTATGAAAACAGGCATTTTCATCAAGACTGAGTATATACATTAAAATCTTCCTACAGTACTAACAACAACAACAAAATTAAGCATGGTGCAATGAAGCCAACCGCCTACATGCTTTTGTATTAGTTTAACAATTGCTAGCAATTTTCTTTTATTAAAAAAAAAAAGTAACTTATTTCTAATAATAAAACATATTTGACTTACCTGAATTTCAAACTGGTTTGCAGTTTTTTATTACAATTTTCCTTCTGGTTTAAGATATCTAAATTATTTCAATTTTCTCCAAGAATACAATCACTAAAAATGGTACCAGAATAACTTGAAATCTTTTTTTTTAAAAAGAGAATATTGTTTAATTACAGTGAAGAATTTAACAGTTGAATTATTTAGTTTTTGGCTTAAGACAAATTAGTAGCTCTTCCCTCTAATCTGAAAATCTGAAATCTGAAAAAGTTTTATCCCTGTCTTATCATTATATTAAGCTAAACATTCTAAGTTTTGTGCTAAAATTTTTAAATGGCAAGTATAGAAGTATTAGTATCTCACACAGTCAAAGACATGTATAGCTACTGCAGATTCCTAAATATTGAAGCAATTTTGGTCCAATCAGTGGTCATCCTGGTCAAAAGAGAAGGCATGAATCAACAGCCTTGGTCACAAAAGGTAAGCAGGAATAGCTTAACAGGTGAGCCAAGCTAGACACTTCAGTATACAAAGATGAATACAATTTTACACACAAATTCTATGACAGAGAAGACAGGTCTGGCAAGTAGGGTCATCATCCCACTGCTCTCTATGCAATGAGGTAGATAAGTTTGTGATTAAAATGTGCTCTGCACACAAAATGAACACAAAACATGTACCATGTGCTAAGAAAGAAAACTGTGTCAAGTTGCATCGCAATATGACTATCACTATATATATCCAATAGCTTGATTTGCACTTACTTTGTATGATTCCATGCGGTGCTGGGTTATCACAGTTACTTTTTCTATCACTGTTCTTAATCTGCTTTGTGTTGCATGGGAAATAAAAGTAACCACCTCAGCTGGCACATCAGTAATTCCTAATTTTTTAGCTAAAGCAAAGCAAAAGAAAAGAAAAGAAAATTAGCTGACTTTCCACCAAAAAAAAAAAAAAAAGAAAGAAAAAAACCCAACCTGTAAAGAACACAAAGTCACAACGTTATTTTCCTGAGCGTATAAATCTTTGATAGTAAATCTCTGAAGCTTTGGTGATACATTCATTACCTCTTGAAAACAGATGCGGTCACAATTTAAAGTTTGAGGTAATCCAGAGTTGCTTCTTTACCCTTCAGAAGACACTGAGGCACCTTACCAGGTTTTATCCAGTAGAGTGACAAAAAGTAGATGAGGCAATCTGAGTTCTCAGAAGCAGCAAATCCTTTGCTTTCGGGATCGCTGCTGACACTTCCAGCGCCCACACGCCCAGGCTGCAGCCCACAGCACACTGCTGTGCACTTCAGCACACACTACTAGTTTTTCTTTAAACAAACATAAGCCTTAAAAATGCTTGAATATGTTCACTTGTGACATAGTACTATGTACGCAAAGCATTCCAGGAAATTAACTGAGAATATTCTGGAAAGTGTTTCCTGAGTGACTAATTAGAGCAGTCGTCGCCTGTGGGAGGGACCTCCACACAAATACAAACCTGAGAGGCTTAAAAATGAGCCTGTTTCATGACGCGTTCCTATCTTTTTCCTGCCAAACTCGAGGGTAAAAAAAAAACCATCACACGTCCGAAAAACGAAGACGAGTTAACGAGCAGCGTTCTGGCATGCCTACAGCCCCGCTGTTTCAGCGGCAGGAGCAGCCGGCAGTGCGCACCGCACCACCCGCGGGGCGGCACCGCCCTCCCGGCAGGGGGCGCTGCAGCCACCCATCCCCGCGCAGCAGCGCATGGGCAGAGCCCGCGTAAGGCGCCCAGCTGCGGCGGGAAGCGGCTGCGCCCGGCCGTCTGAGCTCCTTTTTTTCTTTCTTTCTTTTTTTTTTCCTCCAACCGATCTGTCTATTTAAATGTATATTTTATTACATCACTACAGCACATCATCCCCACGCTTCCCAGAGCTGAATTCTGTCATATATTTCTGATATTAATTTTTTTTTTGTAATGATTCTTTGAAGTCGTTATCTCTTTAACTTAAGCTATCACTGCCTTCATACAGTACACGATACCTTAAGGACTTCGGCAGTATGTATATGACTTCAACTGATTTTTGCTTTGCCGCTAAAAAAAAAATTCCATCTGTCTTGGTGCCCAATTTGTCCTCTGTAATAGAGATGGAGCTCCACCGAGGTTGCTGAAAGCTGAACGCATAATGGAAAGCAGACATTCGCATTAAGATCCCAACGCTGCAACTGTTACTCATGCAAATTAAGTCCTTGAAGTCGTTGGGACTATTCATGTTGGTGGGAGCTATTTGTGCAAGTCAGGCTTCAATATCTACACCTATTTGAGCATGCACCACTTTATTATGCAAACGTGTAAGCAAAGCTATCAATCAGAAAATAAAAAACCTAGTCTGAATGATAAAATACAAGCAGAAAGGGAAATTTAATTAAGTAGTATCTAGAAAAGAGGTTTGAGATGGAAAATTCTGCCAGGTATTCTAGTTACGAGTAGGAATGAATAATTGTTACAATAATAATTCTTTGAATTTCAGCTTAACTACAGCTACCCAACTTCTCTGAACACACAATGCTTTCATAATAAAGAGCTACCACATCTTTTTTTTTTTTTCTTTTCTCATTTTCTAATTTTAAGCACATTTGCCCTAAGTCAACTCAACTACTATGCAGCTGGTTTTGCCTATTCAACTCTTTGGAACTTCATCCATAATGAAAGGATCATTTCCTGGGATGCCCATTTCCAAGAGTCATGTCCTAGGCCCTCCCCACCAGCCTCCACAATAACCCTGTGAGATTTCCTACTCCTGAAATCCCTCCGCACAAGTCTTTACAGTTCTAGAAAACTACCTGAAAGCCAGTTATAAATGGTGGCTCACACGAGTCTGTCCTGGGACTTGCCCTTTTGAACACCTTTTTCAGGGATGTACAGGGAGATCTAAAGCACCCTCATCAAGTTTGCAGATGACAGCACAGCGAATGGTGCAGAGCTGATGGAAAGCTTATGGTGGGCAGTCAGCCAGCCATGATTCAGCAATGCATCCTGGCAACAGTGAAGACTATCAGTACAGCTGGTTGTATCAACAGGAGGCAAAAGTAGTCAGTACATTGAGAGAGGTGACTACTGCTTTCCTTTAGTCCATACCACAGCTCAGTTTTGGGTACCCCAGTACAAAAAAGATTTGAAAAATTTGAGTCCAGGGACAAGTCACCAGCGCTGGAACATTTGGTCAATACAAGCAGAACCTGAGGGATCTTTATCTGGGAGAAGAGAAAGCTTAAGGCAGAGGTTATTTAGGAAGATTAATCCAGTCTCTTTATTGAGATGCCTGCAAGTAAGGATGAGAAAAATTCATAAATTGAAACAGTAAAGTTTCTGACCAGACACCGGCAAGAATTCTTCATTAAATGTTAGAATACTTTACACAGAAAAGCTATGGAATCTCCCACTTTGCATGTTTTTATGACTCATGGACAATAACTTAGACAATCTCATCTGATTCTATGATCCCTGCTTCTCTTCTTCCCATATTCCTTGTTATCCCTTCTTATCACAACATCCAAGCTCCCTCACACATCTAGCATCACCCCCTGGCCTATCTTCCAGCCCACATTTATCCAGCTTGCCATCTGGGCACAGCCAGCTCACCCTGAGGCAAGTCTGTACAAGAATGCTGATTGGCAGCTATCCATTCAGAAGAGCAAAGAAAAGAAAATTTGATTTTCCCCTCAATTGGAACACACAAGGGCTATCTAGCTGTTGATTTATCAATAAATTCAAAAGTTATCTGCAGGGAGAGAGAAAGAAGGCAAATAGACTGCTCCATCATCTAAGGCTAGCTTTCTTTGGAAAGCAGGCTAAAGAAGAAAGAATACAGCACAAATTTCCCCAAAAACATCAAGAAACCAGACTACAAAAAGATGAATGTATAAGAAGTCAACTCGTCATCCACAACATTCATCATGTGTGGAAACAACACGTCCCCCTTGCTCTAAATTTATACCAATCATTAGTTCTGTTAGCATAGGACATCAGAAGCAGGGTACATTCCAAAGCTGTATACTACATGAAGATTTGGCACACTACTGAAATACTTGGGCTGTACTTGGGGCAAAGATGGGAAACTTACCAGCATGCTCCTGAAACAGTAATTTCATCTATACTTGGAAAGGTTGCCTAAGTTATACTCTCATAAACAAGCATCTATACATTCTTACTGATTTTCTGACTGAAGAAGAGTTTTGATAACATTCTTAGAGACTTTTAAACATAGTTTTTTTTTTTTTTTTCTGCTATATAAATACATACTTAAAAGCAGCAAAAGTAGCAAAATGACACTATCTCATAAAGCCCAAAAATGCCAAGGAGTAGAAACTGACTCTATGCAAAAGGCTGGGAAAAGTTAATACTTGTAGTGGTGAAGAAAAAGATACTAAGACTTCAAAATAGGAACTTACATCTCTTCCTGAGCTTCATCCACTCCTATTTATATAAAAAAAGCACACTGGAATTTTTTTTTTCCTTCAAAGGAAAATTATGCTGATCTTCAGATAGCATATGCCTGAGACCCACTCCTAAAGCACATAATTGTTTTTTTCCAATTTTAATTCAGAAAGGTTTATCTTGCCTTCACAAGAATGTTTGTGCAGACACTAAAATATGACAATGAATATGAACTAGATAGTTCATATTTAGTTTGATAGGGGAAAAGAAATATAAAGTTATAAAAAATTTGTATATGCAATCATATGAAAATACTTTATGTACTTAACTGTATCATAAAGCACAAATATTATCATATACAGTTTATCTTTCCAACCAGGTCACAGGATAGCTGGTTCAACTGCAGATATATATATATATATATATATTTTTTTTTTTAAGTCCCAGCATTCTAGATTCCCATCTTTATTGCACTAACTGGTCATAGTATGTACACTTACATACATATAGACACACAAAATACAAAGAGAAAATAAAGATTAAACAAAATAATTAATGCTGATCAACAAACTGCTGTCACATACCTTTGTTTTTTAACAAAAAGTTATAATTATTTCTGACTTTTTTTTCTGCACCCCTTAATGTGCTCTGAGGTTGATACTGTGGACATCTTAACTTGTAGATTCATAACCCAAATTGTGTATTATAAAGCAGTAAGGAGCTACACATTTAAACATCAGGAAATGCATAGTTTGAAAAAAAATTGCTTGCTATTAAATAATATATTTGCTAAATTTAAACATTTTCAACGTCAAGCACAATCCTTTAAAATGACTTTAGCAATGTAATTCTGAACTTTTCATAGAGCTAAGATAAAAACATCATCAAGAATAACAACAAAGATGGAGATGGAGCAAAGCAAGGCTCCAAGCTGTAATTTTAACCAATCTCTCCACTTGAATTTGAGTTTTTATGTTTTAAAAAGCATAACTAAGGTCATGTTTTTCATTCAAGCACTCTTGCCAGTACACTAAAGCTGTAAAAGACCATGAAGAAGCAATGAATGATAGCATGAACACTACTATTCTTTGTGACAGAACTTAAGTTTCAATTGCTTCTCAGGGGTATCACTACAAAGTAGTCGGTTGAGTCACCTTATCATATGTGAAAAATACGAGGGATCAAAATTAATACTTCCAGAATGAACAAATTTCTAATCTGCCAAGCATTTATAGAACAGCATAATAAGGCCTGTCTACATATTAAATCTTAATTACATGTTTGGAAGCATTAGTAGCAAACCCATGGTTCAGTCAGCATTTAATAAAGCTCTACATATGAAGATGCATATGAAACAGCATGCAAAGAAAGTATAAAAAAGCACTGAAATATTTTTGTTACAAATAAACTGTTTTCTACTTAAAAGTTTGCAATATTGCAAGAGAATTTCTATAAAGTTAGAACTTGTATATAAGTTTCAAAAAC